CCCCCCCCCCCCCCCCCACCCCCCCCCCCCCCCCCCCCGCAGCAAGTCCAAAATCAAGAGGCCGAGTTAGCAAACTCGGCAAGTGGATTTTGAGGCCTCTTATGATGATCGTACATGACGAAAGTGCTGTAAATACCGAGTAAAACGGATGTGCTTTTAAGATGGTTTTAAGCAAGTGTAGTTGGTAGGGGGGGGGGGGCCTACTACTACTACGACTACTACGACTGCCACTGCTACTGTTAATGCTACTGCTACTGCGACTGCTACTGCTACTACTACTACTACTACTGCAGCTACTACTACTACTATTACTACTACTACTACTACTACTACTACTACTGCAGTTGCACCCTTTTCCGTAAACCCTAAACCCTAAACCTACGACGACGACGACGACGACGACGACGACTATTACTACTACTACTACTAGTACTACTACTACTACTACTACTACTACTACTACTACTACTACTACTACTAGTACTACTACTACTACTACTACTACTACTACTACTGCGACGATAGTGTCAGGAATTCAACGAGTTGCCGGCCTTGCGGCGGATGCGCGGCCTGCCGCCCATGGCTTGCTCGCCCTCCCCGGAGGACAGGTTAATGGTTTATAGAGGGTTTATGGTTTAGGGGTTTAGGGTCATGCCTGCTCCCCAGCTGATAGCAAAGAGCCTGGGTTCAAAAAAAAAGGGGTTTGGGGGTTAGGGTTTAGGGTTTAGGGTTACGCGGTTCAAAGCAACATCTTCAAAGTCCCTTGCCCAAAGAAGCGAGTTCAGGGTTTGGGGCGGATGGAGTTGTATAGTTGTTGGTTCCAGGGTTTAGAGCTGCGTTGTGGAGAGAGAAGATGAGAGAAACTTTGGGTAATATAGAAGCTTAAATAATTACCTATACTGTTTTGGGGGTGCCTTATTATAATTATAGTATACTATACCCCTGAACCCTATTCTAATTATTGAGGCCTCTATATTAGAAAGATGTTTCGCTTCAAGACCTGGAGTGCCAGTGGTCTCCGGCCAGGGATGCTAGATAAAGGGGGCTGAATCATTAGGGTTTGGGGTTTAGGGGGTTTGCTCGCATATTATGCTATAACCATATTTAAATAACCGTAGGGGACAGCATGGTTGGGCGAAGTTGTGCAGCAGCCTCAGCTCGGCAAAGATACCTTGAGTGGAAGTATTAGCCTACAGTCTAAGTTAGGGTTCCGGTTTTAAAGCCAGGGCTATTATTATACTATTATAATCATAACCGCAAGCCCTAGGAAGCCCTAAACCCTAATGTAGCCCACCCCTCAGGCCTAAACCCTACTAGTGTGGACGTTAGTGGCGCCAGGTTGCTTTTTTGTGAGTCAGACCCCGACAACACTTCCTGCTGCATTGCTAGCAAGTGGGTAGTTCTCTAAATCAGGATCCCTTGTTAGGTCCCCAATATAGTACGGCACCCTTATACAAAGGACACCCAAAAGGGACCCTAATTTGGAGATGTACCTAAACCCTAAACCCTAAACCCTAAATACTGCGGGACGGAAAAAGGGTCGTGCAAAAAAAACCCTAATTTAGAGAACTACCCAAGTGCCATTGATTCGGAAGTTTGGAAACCTGAGATCTGCCATTGAAGCCATCAAGCCGGCTTCAGGGTTTGGGGCTTAGGTTTTGAGGTTTACGGTTTCGAGTTTAGGCTTTGAGGTTTAGGGTTTCGGGTTTAGGTTCTGGGGTTTAGGGTTTAGGCTTTGAGGTTTAGGGTTTCGGGTTTAGGTTTGGGGGTTTAGGTTTTGGGTTTAGGGTTTAGGTTTTGGGGTTTAGGGTTTTTAGCGTTTGAGAGATTCCGATGTGAGGAGCAGCTGGAGAAACTCCGGAGCAATCCTCTCAAGCCGCCACCTGCTCTGCTCTCAGCTCTTGCATTCAGTTCCGCAGGGTCTACCTGGACCCCAAAGAACATAGCTTTTTAAGGACAAATATGAAGGAATCCTAAGAAGGAGCCCTAAAAAGGAGGGGTTTGTAGGGTTGAGGTAGGGTTTACGAAGTTGGCCTTACGTGGTGGCACGGTCGCTAAATGCACGACGCAACAAATGCTCGGGGACTCATGTCTGCTGCCCCGTTGCTTAAGCAGCTCTTGTCCCGACGTGAGTATGACGTTCTCTGGAAGGCATCAGTGCAAAGGCACGAAATCCAGCTAATAAGCAGCCGTTCTCCCATGCTTGTTCCAGCTGGAACTCGTTGAGCTTTCCGAACCTTCTGGCGTGCTGACGACCAATGTTGAATCAGTAAATACTAAATCCCTAAAACCGAATTCTGAACTTTGAATTCAGGCACAAAATCGTATCCTAAGCTGTTCAACATGCCAAGTATGAACGCCTGCCTCGAAATGGCAGGAGCTTGAGTCTGGAACCTTAGCTGTGGCAATCGTCAAAGATGCAGACGGCTACGAGCACTTCGGCTGTGAATCGGAAAGTCAGACGGCATTCCTGTGTGGAATTCGGATCCGGCGGCGGGCGCAGGGGTAGGATGCACTTGAGAAGATGGGTTGGACAAGCATCGGAGCATACCGGAGCGCTCTGTTCGGATCATGCGAAAGTGATGGCAGATAACAGCCGGCCTTACCATGGGCTGCGTCCTCCTGCTAGTATCTACCCGATCGGCAGCCAAATCGAGTCATCTGCGGCTGAGGATCTGCTTGGTCAGTTCTGCAGCTCGGCCGGTGTGTGTGTGTGTGTGTGTAAGTTCAACTGCACCTATGGCCGCCTTTTGCTCTTGCTTCGTTGTCGCACGTAGGCGTACAAGCCCAAGCAACCCGAGCGACTAACATTGCAGCATTGGCAGTGGCATTGGTGATGATACTAAGGGTTTAGGGTTTGCTGATGATCAGAGACTGGGTTCAAAAGGGGTTTAGGGTGTTGCCAAAAGGGTTTAGGATTTAGGTGATGATACTAATTGGCAGAGTCTGGGTTCAAAAAAGGTGATGATACTAAGCCGGGTCCTGGGGAAGCTCGCAAACGGACCTGTTGGTATGCGCTTTGGAGTGAGTTGCCTGTGAAAGCTGCAGATTTTCGTGAAGGTGCCCAGGAAGCACAGATTTCAATACTGTTATCCCGGGCCCAGGAGACATACCACCAAGCGGTGAGGCCATGTCCGCCTTCTTAGTGTTGTTTGATCAACAAGAGAGATAGACTGCGGTCAACCCTAAACCCTGAATCTTACCTTACCCTACACCCTAAACCCTAAAACCCTAAACCCTAAACCCTAAACCCTAAACCCTAAACCCTTACCCTTCGGCACGAGGAGTTATCTTGCCTCGCTTGAATAAACTTGCCAACCTGCCGGCTCCTGTAGAGATAAAACATGGACTTGCCTATTTGGGAGTTTCCGAAAATAGGGGACCCTAATATAGTACCCTAAACAATAGGATCCTTAGTATAAGGACCCCAAAATAAGGTACCCCAATTTTCGGAAACCGCCATTTCCTAAACCGGGAGACACTAGAGAGCTCCTATAAGCGCGGCTAGTTTATAGAAGCGCACGTCCAGCTCCAAAAAGGGGATACAATGGAGTCTAGGTAGGGATTTTCCGGCGTGCAATGCGTTATAACGGCACGTGTTACTCCAAGCCACGTTGACGTGAAATTTTTTACGAAGGACCACGTGAAATTTTTCACGAGAAGCACGTGAAATGCAAATCGAACGG